ATTGAAAACAAATTTCAAAGTTATTTTTCTTTCATATTTATTATAAATATAAAAAAACAAAATATATGTAATTACTTTATAATATATATGAGGTTAATTCAGAGTTTATGGCAACCAAGTCTGTATTAGAAGGCACTTATGTTTTTTTCTGTTATAAATTTCAGAGTAGGAGGATGCACATACAACTTACTACCCTTTATTACCGAGATGTTTTTCATGTCTATGCCATCAACAGGGCATCCAAGTTGCTGATTTATGTCATCAATATAAAACCAACAGGAATTTCTTGTATTTAGTCCAGGAGAATGCTTGAAAGAATGTGTCTCTGAACATTCTTCTGGTTGGATGCAGTCACTGACCAACATCTATAATGGATCTTCATGTACTGTTTAGTAATTTTCCTTTTGCTGTTAATACTTACAAACCAAAGTTCTATTAAGTAAATTTTTTCTTATGTACTTGAAAGCTTTGTTTTCTCCAAACTGTTTCAAGCCTGTTTCTTAGATGAATTTCAGAAAAAAAACTTGTACATAATATTTACTGTGTATGTGAAGAACCACATAATATTACTATCTTGAGTCTATAATCCTTAATGGTGCCCAATATTTTCCTAGTTAAATGGCAGCAGCTTTAATCATGTAAGCAAATAAAACTAATCCTTTCTAGAACCACAAAAATTAGCACACCTTTCCAGCTGCTGGGATTACATGCATGTACCATCATGCCTTACCATGGAAGTGTTTTATCTTCTCATTCACTATAAAGAATACTAGAAAGATGGGTAGTCCAAGGTCACAGCAACATAATAAACACATTTTCCTATCTCATCAAGGTCATCCAGTGAAAATTTTTTAAAAAAATTTTATGTGTATGAGTATACTGCCTGCATGTATGTAAGTTACACCTGTGCCATGTATTGCCCACCAAAGTGGGAGGAGGGCATCAGATCCCCTAGAACTGGAGTTATGGACAGTTGTTAAGTTGCCATGTGGGTTCTGGGAACAGAACCCTGATCCTCTTCCAAGAGTAGTCAGTGCTCTTAACCACTGAGCTATCTTTTCGGCCCAAATAAAACTATTTTGATTAGCCAGTATACACTTCAGTGCTGCTGCTTTAAATTTTAAGGCACCAACAGTTTTTACCGGCCAAGGCTTCTGCACTACTATTGCAAAGTTACAATGAAAAATAATTATGAAAATAATTTTGATCTAATGTATTGGGGGTAGCTAATAATAAGTGTCAAGCTAATTGAACTACAGGGTACCCATATGATACATTATTTCTGGGCTATTCTAGCCCAATCAACATTTGAATCAGTATACTATGCTATTGTAGCATGCTTTCATTAACAGAGTAGACATCATCCAGTCCATTGAGTGTCTGAACAGAACAAAAAGCAGAAAGAACTGGTTTATCTAAGCCATTGCCTCTCATCTTCTGTCCTCAGAATGGGACATTCACTGACTTCCACAGACACTGGGCCTATGGACTTGGATGAAATTACAGCAGGGCCTCACTTGAGTCTGTACTTACAGGTGGCAGACCATAAATTTCTCAGCCTCCATATTTGTATAAACCAGTGTTTCAAAGTAAATCTTCTCCGTCAATCCCCAGCTAACATATGAACTCTCTGAATAAGTCTCAGATCAACAGTTACATGAAATATATTTTGAGAAGTGCTGGCCTGATGATCCCACTGGAAATTTACAGATTTCCAAAATCCTGTATTTCAGCACTATTTGTTTTATTAAATGGTGTTCTTTCTTCATGTTTCTTTTATTTATTTTCCAAGATTAAGTCATAAGTAAAAGTGAGTCAATAAGAGTTAAATGAGAAGTTATTACTTTGAAGATAACTATATAAAAAATGAAATTCTTATTTTTACTAAATCTTTGTTTTTCTTAAATAATTTCCAAAATTTTTACTATTACAAAAATGTTTTTACATTTTAATATGCTATTGGTTTCAAAGAGAAACTATATAGGGGGCTGGAGAGATGGCTCAGCAGTTAAGAATACTGACTGCTCTTACAGAGAACCCGGGTTCAATTCCCAGTACCCACATGGTGGCTAACAACTGTCTGTAACTCCAGTTCCAGGGGAACCGATGCCCTCTTCTGACCTCCTCGGGCACTGCACAACATGGGTGCACCTACACACATGCAGGCATAAACACATTAAATAAATAAATAAATAAATAAATAAATAAATAAATAAAAACTATATAATCAACAATTAATCAGAAGCAGCCTTAACATTTATATTTAAGAAACAAAGTTTCTGTTGAATGACTAAATAGCTTACAGAAAGGCAATGATAATTTGGTTATCAAATTATATAATCAAGTTACATAGAAATAAAAACTATCATCTTTATAGTTATATAATATTCTTGACATTTAAAACTATTTAGCCATTATGCAAAATTTAAACTCAGTTATCATTTCAGTATCATTTATAGCTAGAGCATAAATGTTATGGGGTAATAAAAACTGGAAAATAAAAGAACACAGATTGTAAGAGAAAGAAATCTCTTTACTTTCTCAGAGAGTGTACTAAGAGCTGTTATTTCTCCTGTCATTTTCACCATGGCCACCCAGATCAAAATCCTCAATCTGAGCAGAAAAGCCATCCCACTAGAACAACAGACCCAATGTTAAAGGCACTTTTACACTGGTGTAGGCTATTTCCTCAAAGTCAAAAACTTTCTTAGTTTAAGAGCAATAAATCTTCAATGTCTAGCTCTTTCAAATACCTATACATGAGAAATATTGTAAAATACCTTATTTCATCAGTGTCTGGTACTTTCGTGTAAGGCAGAATGGCTCGTACACGCCTTCTATCTTCAACTGGCTGAAAACCATTTAAAAAAAAGGATTTAGGGGCTGGGGACATGGTTCATGGCTCAGTGGCTAAAGTAACTGCCGCACAAGCCTGAGGACCCAAATTCAGATCCCTAGATTCCACATAAGAAGCTTGGCATGTGTGGCGGCTACCTGTAATCCCAGCATTTGGAAAGCAGAGACAGGGTTACCTGGGGGAAAGTTAGCAAACCAGACTAGCCAAATTGGCAAACTCTGGGCTCAGTAAGAGACCTTGCCCCAATAAATAAAGGGGAGAGCAATCAAGTAAGACATACAATGTCAACTTCCGGCTACCACACTCTTGAGCACACATGCAAGCATGTATACACATACAAATGTAAACACACAAATGTACAAAAAGAATTGTCTTTGTCTCCAAGTTAAAAGAGGTTTAAAGTTTAAAGCCAATACAATTCCATATTATAAACTCTGTAAGATCTTTCAAATTAATCTTTACTGAGCTTCTATATAGAACTAGAAATGTTTGTGCTCTTGTTTGATGTTTTTACAGAAGTTCCTTTAAAAGTATAACAAAGTTGTTGGTTTTTTTTTTTTTAAGGTAATCTGAACAACCATTTAATTTTAAATGTTACACAGAACACAGAAATTAATTTTCCTTTGATGATATAAAGCATTTCAACTTCTGCAATATTTTCACAATTAGCATTATGAAATCAATTACTCCTTATATTACTCCTTATACATTCAAAAATATCTGGTAAGCTATGAACATAGAGAATTCTTAAAAATCTAGTTACTAAAATACAGAGTCACCTTTCTAAGGAAGCTGTCATTTTGTTCTAACATAAACAGAATTAAGATTTAAAAATACTTCTTGTATTATAAATAAAGACAAGAAATGGATTAAGATCAACCTCTATTATTAAAGTGAAATGTTATGATATCTCATTCAGTTTTACTTGCCTCTGGTGGTGCAACTGGATAGAGCAATTTTTCTCCTTTAAGTAAACAAGAAACGTGACTGTAATAACCTATTAGGTCTGAAAGTGAAGAAAACCGCCTTCCACCAATGTAGTAATCTCCACACATAGCAATAATCCTATTTGAAAAAACAAAACACGCATAGTTTGACAAGGTTCTTTAAAGTCTGTTTTCTTTCTCCGTAAGTGGAAATTAAACCTAGGTTCTTGTACATTCAAGATACACGTCAAGCTTCTACCACTGGGCTTTCTTCCACCAGTACCTAAAGCCAAGATTCACACAGAAATTACAAAATCTGTAAATGTCATACTCTTTGCATTAAAATACATCCCTATAACTCAAAAAAGCACTTACCACTATCTTCATCATGGGTAAATTACCAAGTATTATTTTTAAATCTATTTGAATCTGATATAACATATCGCACTTAAAAGGCTCAATTATCTAACCAAGTAACTGAAAATTTGCCTTCAAATATCAGCCCTCATTTTCTATATTGAAGAGACAATTAACAATTTTAGTAAGATTTCTCTGTCTAAAAGTAATCACAGATCTCTTGAAATCTATATGAAATATAATAAAAACATCACAGAATAAGATATTAAATTATGTTAACTATTTGCATTATTGTCAAATTATATAATGTGAATTTATTACTCTGTGTAAAAAATAATGTAATAAGCATGGAAATTCTCTAAAGCTTATTTTAAAATTTAAAACAAAAGATTCAAGAACATTTGATCAGTTAATATTTCTGGTTCTAGAGGATTTATTTTTCTCATAGCTCCCTTAAAAATGATATACATAATGTCAGGCGTGGTGGCGCATGCCTTTATTCCCAGCACTTGGGAGGCAGAGGCAGGTGGATTTCTGTGAGTTTGAGGCCAGCCTGGTCTACATAGAGACCCGGCGGGGGGGGGGTAAAAAAAGGCCCTGTTCAAAAAAAAAAAAAAAAAAAAAAAAAAAAAAAAAGATATACATATAAATATATGTGTGTATCAGATTTTGATATCTTACATGAAAATCTGCCTGTTTCACCCACATGAACATTTTCAGAATTTTAGAATAGTGAAGCCAAAATGAACTAAAAGTACACTTTCAACTTCTGAACAGTGTTTTCTGTATTTTCCTTTATTCTATAATCTGAGTCTACATTTCTTTTAACTTTCAACTTTTTCAAAATTTATCAGTAATGCATTATATTCCCTAAATGTGATAAATATACATGAGAATTGGTATAGTAAATAAAGACCAACAGTAATGTTAAACAAAAAGTTTAAACATTTCAGAGTATCTACTCTAAATCACTGATTCAATCATTTAATTGAAAATAATTTTATTATGTCACTAAGTCAGGCACTTCTATAAAACTAGGTATATTTATGAATACTATGCCAAAATGCTCTAATATAAACCTCACACTAGGAATAAAGACACTTACCTAAAATGGTTGACAACACTTGTCTGGCTAAGAAATGAAAGCACAAAGGACCCCGGCCTCCTATCACTCTCTCTTATCAGGTAGCTTCCAGATTTCCCTGCCTGCCTGAGGCGTTCTTCTGCAATGGTTCTATCAAGTTTTCCATGATACCACCTGGGGAAAAGATAAATAATTAAAATAAAAATAGCCACCATAAAATTTCTAAGCTGATCAAAAGACATAATATTAGAGGGTTTTAAATACCCACTTGTAAGTTAAACATTTGTTTTGCACAAACCAATTATAATTTTACCTCAGCTTTCTTTTTTTTTGTAACCTCCTTTCAGATTCCCTAAAAACACTGATTTAGAAAGTTTTACTTTGTTCTACAAACTCAAACCCAGTCACTGCATTGATGGACATCTTTTTTCCTCCAACTCCCAGCTCCAGGATTACCTCTATCTGCTCAAAATATAAATATCTAATGCATCAATTGCTTTCTTAGAAAATAAAAGTAAGATGGCTAACTGGAAATAGTTTACAGACTCTACATATTAAGGAATCCACATGACATAACAAGCTGCATGGAACTACTGGAAAAATAAAAACATTTTTTTAGACTTCGTGCTCTGGAACAGGAAGAACACAGAATGACTTTTTTTTCCTTTTAAATTTCATATTGAATTTTTGTGTATTTCATACAGAAAGTCACTTTTATGCCCCCTTCCCCCTTCCCCTTTGGCACCCTCCCATAGCCCCCTACTGGAGTTCATACAGTCTGTCATTTGTGTTAAGGATTATCATGTAAAGTCAGTGTCCCCAGATGTCCCTCGGGGCAAGTTCATCCACTGAGATCTAGTCAGCCTATCTAGTGTCCCACTCTTTAAGATCAGCTCATTCTCACCCAGCAGTAATCAGCTGCCAATAATTCTTCAACTAAGATTGGGGCCTGCTGTTCATCTCTATAGTTCTGTGCTGGGTTTTTGTCGGCCTAAGTTTGCATGGGTCTTGTGCATACTGACAGCATTGCTGTTAGGTTTGTATAAGAAGGGTCCCAGACACCTGTAGGACTATTTCCGTATGGTCATGCACCTCCTCCCTGGCTCTTTCCACCTCCTCTCCAGCAATGGTCCCTGAGCCCCGGGTGGGTAGATTTACATAGGATACACACTCTGCAGACTCTTATTCTCTGCACTTTGGTCATATGTGACCTTCTGTGTTCCTGGCCCTCTGATGCATGAGGGAGCTTCATTGATCAGAGTTGAAAGATGCAACAGTATTTTCTTCATCCCTTGTTCTATGTTCCATAAACCTTAAATGTAGAGGCTGCAATCTAGACGTGCCACTTAGATTTGGGAAATTCACAATCTCTGTGTGTGACCAGCTGTGGAACTCTGCAATTATCTCTGTCTCTTGAAACAGAAGCTTCTTTGATGGGTGGTGACTGGGATACTTGTCTATAAATTTAAGGATCCATACTTTGCACATAGCAAGAAATTACATTTGTCTAGAGATGTGACAGCCTTGGAGTTTTCTCTAAGATCGATGACCTCTCCATCTATGTGTATTTGGCTAGGTTTATAGTACCACATATGAGTTTCCTCCCATTGAGTAGGCTTTACATCTAATTATGTAGCTGTTCATTACCCCCAAGATAAAAATGCCACTACTGCACCAATGTCGTTTGCTGTGCTGGTCATTGATGTGGCCCTGAAGCTTGGGTTGGACCATCAATTGATGTTCTCCTTATTTTCAACTTACACAGTGCTCTCCAAAGCTATGAGAGTTAGCCTCACAGCTTAACCTGGAGGTGGCTGCCAGGTCATTTCCAGCTCCATTGCTCCAAATCCTGTGTCCAAAGTATGTCCTGTTTTCAGCAATAGGGTCTTACCATCGAGTTCTGGGAGGCAATCAAGGACTATGAAAATAGCCTGTGTAATTTTGGGAGTCTTTTGGACTACTCTGGCCAACCACTCAAAAGAAGGTTTCTCCTGTCTGGCACTGGTTCTTATTATATAGTCTTCAGCTATACTCACGGACTCATGTAGAGATATTGTATGTGTAATTTTTCAGTAGGTTTTTGGGCTAATTCAATTCCCCCTGGTTTATTATACCCACTAGGCACTATGTATCTCTCCTCTTTCACTTCCTGTCTTATCTTCCCTCTCCACCCTTCCCATTTAAAGTGTCCCCATTTTCCCCATTTCTCCCTTGATGATTTCTGTGATGATTTTCTATTTCAACATCATTCCTACACCTACACATAAAATTGAAGCACACTTATGAAAAACTGAAATTGTTTATTGTTTATCCATATTGGCATGGAAAGCAAATCTATAAAAGTAACTGTTGGAGCTAGAGAGATGGCTCAGTGGTTAAGAACACTGGTTGTTCTTGCAGAAGACCCGGGTTCGAATCCCAGCACCCACATGGAAGCTAACAACTGTCTGTAACTACAGCTCCAGGGGATCTGACGGCCTCTTCTGTCCTCCGCTGGCACTGCATGACACGGGTACATTACCTTCATGCAGGCAATACACTCATACACATAAAATAAATAAAATACTTAAATTTTTAAAAAGTAATTGTTATGAAGTACTTTGACATTTTTGTTACATTAGTCAAACAAAATACATAATTGTGGCCAAACCTGAAATAGTCTAAGGAAAACTGAAAATATAAGCCAATAATGA